CGAAATGACCGTGTTCATGATCAAGTCGGCAGCACGCCCAGAACCCAGGCACAGCTGGCGGCGCCGCGCCGCCGCCCGGCCCGCGCCACGCACCCCCGCGCCACCGCCCCCGCGCCCCCGCCCGGCCCCCCGCCCTCTCACCCGCGTCGAACGACTCCGCGGCGGCCGCGGCGCGCGCGCCGCCGGCGCCGCCGCTGCGCGCATTGCCAAGGCCCTTCATGGTCAGCGCCAGGCGGCGCTGGGCGGTGTCCACGGTGAGGACTTTGACCTTGACCTTGTCCCCGATCTTGACGAAGTCCGCGGTGTTCTTGACGTACCCGTCCTGGGGTGTTGCATGAGCATTGTGTGCGTGTGTGTGTGTGGGGGGGTGCGTGTGTGTGGCTTTGTGCCCAGAGAACGCGACACCTTGAGGGGGTGGGGGGGTGACTTGGGCCAGTGGGCAGGGAAAGGAGTGCTCTCGCCTTGCAGCAAGGCGGCAGCACCTCTGTCAGATGCCCCGTTTTTGTCACCGCTGCCACCCCCGCTGCCACTGCGGCCGCCTCCCGAGTCGGGTGTCGCGGCATGCTACACAAGCCGGCTGCTGGACCCATTTGTTGACGAGAGGTCGCCCTGCTGCGGTGTCCCGCACGATCGCAGCCGCAGCCATACGCAGCCAGGGCCGCCTGCTGGGGCAGCAAGCCACCGCTCTCCCTATGCCCGAATTCTCGCCACCCACCGCCAGCTGCGAGATGTGCACAAGGCCGTCGCTTTCAGCGCCGACGCTGACAAACGCTCCGTATGCCTCCACCTTGGTCTGCGCGTGGCGCATTGCGGCGGGTTCATGTTTCTTGCGGCCAGCCAATTGCGCGCGGATTGTCATAGATGCTGTACAGTCGCCATGCTGCTGGCACATGCGCAAGAAACATAACGTGCCTGCGCGTGAAAACAGCCGCCGCACCCCCACATGCCCTACGCAGCACACACACCACGGTGCCCTCGAGCTCCTGGCCGGGCTGGATGGTAGCAATAGGCACGGTCACGACCCTCTGAGCACGCTTCTGACGCTGCTGCTGCGGCTGCTGGGGCGCGGGCTCCGCGGCCTCCTCGGACTCAGCAGCGGCCTGAACAGTGATGTGCCTGCGCGCCCCCGTGAAGGGCTTGGGCCTCCTCTGGGACATCCTGCATGGCATATGCACCGTTTCGTTGTCAGCAGAGGCACGCAACGAGCACGAAGACAGCAGCAGCCACTGCTGTGCCAACCTGGTGGGCGTCCATCCCGGCGTCCTCGACGCCGTGCCCTGCGCGCAGCGAAGCACATTGGTTATCATATGCCTCTTTCGCGATTTGGACGCAGCTTAGAGAGCTCCCCTAGCCCCCTCAACCTTAGGCACAGTGCTCCGGCTGAGCTGCATGTCGGTCTACAGCTCTGTGAAACGCTGTTCGGAGTCCAGCGAAATGGATGGGATGCCGTGCCGCACCGGCCGGTTTGTTGTCAGATCACTGCACCCGCTGACCGACCGCCTGCTTGCTCATGGTGCTTTAACCGTGAGCAGCGATTCCAGAAAGCCTCGTCTGTGAGTGAATATCATTCCTTCAATGCCCCTCCACTTCCTTCCTTTCACCTGCCCTGCTTCAGCACCCGACTGGCCTGGCCAGACCGGTCGGCAGACCATAGTCTGACCAGCACTTTGACCAGCTGGCCAGCCCGCATCACCACAATGCCGGCTTCCTCTACAGCAGCATCAGTTGCGTTACAGCAGTCGCGCCTCATCACCGCGTCGCAGGCGCCGCCACCGCCCCGACGGCTGCAGCGATGAACGCCTCCACTTTTGAGTGGTCCTTCAGCAGCCCATCCGGCCCGCACACGCCGCTCGACACGTCCACCACGCCCGGCCGCGCCGCCGCGACGGCCGCCGCGACGTTGCCGGGGTGCAGGCCGCCGGCGAGCATCCAGCCGCGCGAGCCCGCGTCGGGAACGCGCAGGTTGGTCCAGTCGTACGCCTGGCCACTCCCGCCCTGAGGACGCAGGCGCAGGGCAGCCGCGGCGGGGACGAGTCGCGCCCCACCCCCCGCGTTCGCTCAGCCTTGCGTGCTGCAGGGCAATGCCCCGCCGGCACGCGCTGCAGAAGCCCTCCGGCCCCCCCTCTCCAGCCGCTCGTGCCCGCCCGCTCCGCGGCGGCGCGCGATGCCGGGGCTGCACACACCCGATGGTGCAACGCACCTTCACCGCCCGCAATTCCCCCTCACCTGCTGCCCGTCCACCAAAAGCCAGTCTGGCCGCCGGCCACCCTCGCCCGCTGCCGGCAGCTGGGTCAATATCTCCCCCTCCAGGGACGCATGCATCACATACACCACCTGGCGGCGTCGCGGCCGCGCACGCGCATGCGAGTGAGAGGCCAGCAGCACGATGCCTCCGCCGCCGCCGCCGTCGCCACCGCATGCACGCATGCTCCTTGTTGCTGCTAGCACCCTCAAGCACCGGCGGGCCGAGCCGCAGGCTGCCCAGCCCAGACCCAGGAAGCCGCAGCACCACTAGAGCACTCAGCCACTCGCCTCGAGCTCTGGCGGCACCCCGTCCAGCGCCGCGCGCGCCCCGTCCCCGTGCAGCTGCGCGACCCCGACGCCGGCCGCCCCGCAGCGCCGCGCGATGGTGGCTGCGTCCTCGTCCACAAACACGCCCACCGCCTGCGCGCCGTGGCGGCGCGCGGCCGCGGCGATGGCTGCTGCGGTCTCGTCGCTGACGGCGCGCTTGGCCTGTGGCCACATGATCATGCCTGTGGGCGGGTTTGCGGTTTCCAGTCAGTGTTTACGATGATGGTTGTGCAGGGTTCTAGGCGGCGGTGCAGGTTGGGCGTGCGCCACAGGTGGCGGCAAACGGCGCATGGCACTAGTGCAAGGCTGGCTCCACTGCTCACCGATGAAGCTGGCGCCGGCGCGGGCCGCGGCCTCGGCGTCGGCGGCGTTCGTTACACCGCACACCTGCGCGATCGCGGGGCCAGAGGTGGGTTGCCTTGCAGGCGCAGACGGCCCATCAGCTGACCTGCTGCCCCCGGCCTTTTGCGATATGGGCACACAGCGCATATCTAGAGTCTCATCGTAAAGGGTTGCGAGGGACGCGCATCGACAATGTTCCAGTAATGCAGAGCGCCAGTCCCCTGCGCACCTTGACAAGCGGGCGGTACGCACTGCCACTGCTGCTGCTGCTAGCCCCGCTGCTGCCCATCACATGCACTGCACATCTTCTGCAGGAAGTCCTGCGAGTATATTAGTACGAATGAGCAGGAGGGGCCGTCACGGGCGCTGTCGTGCGCTAAGCAGCACGTCAGTGCAGCGAGTGTGCGTGCTGCTGGACCTGTCCCTAGGCGCACCTCGCACCCAGCCTAGGCATGCCACTGAATGCTTCGACATAACGACAGCTGGCCGCCATGTCTTGCTCGGTGGTGCTGCTGTGGAAAATCGCAAGCACAGTGCGATCTGCAGTCAGCTTGTGTGTCGCCCTTCGCTGTGGGATTGTACGACACTTCCAACGAAACTGCGACATGCACTGCTGCTCAGCAGGGCGTGCAATTTTTGGCATGACTCATATCACTAAGCCGAATCCGACCAAGGAATTGTGCTTCGTGGTCAAACTGTCAAAGGAGAGAGGTGGCCTTGGCTAACGACTTAGCAGGAACCATCCTGCAAGCCACATCTGAAGTTTAGCACCCCCGTGCTCCGCAACAACTCGCGATCTTGGGCCAGCTCGCTCGATCCCAACATCAGCCAAGGCACCCTTCGTGTCAAACATGATGTTTTTGTCCAGTAAACCCTGCGTCCAAGCGTCGCTGGCCAGGCGTGTCGTGGAGGGCAGAAGCGTGCCAAACCCGTGCTGCAGGCCGCGCGACAGCTCCCTCTGTCGCGTCATGGCACCACTTAACACCCTCGCGGACACCATGGCGTACGCAGAAGGTGCGCGGAGCGTGCTGTCGGCGGCGAGCAGCAGTTCCGTCGCGCCCTGCACCCCTAGGTCAGCGATCGTCACCATGCGCGCCTGCACGCACGCGAGGCCTGCCCGCGCCACGGCCCCCACGCAGGCGCGCCCGCCGCTACGGCAGCCCCAGCCCTGCACGACGACCTCGACAAGCTGCTGCAGGTGCGCCGGCCCCGCCTGCACAAACCCTCCAGTCGCAACCACCCGCGCTGACGACGGCCTGAAAGCCCCCTCCACGGTGCCCGCACGCTCACACGCGCTTCAAGCGACCCCACGCGGGCTATCCTTCGCCTCAGGCGCCCCCGCTTTTGAACGCTGCCTTTTGACTCGACCACACCCCCCCTCCCCATGCCCTATGACCAGGTGCTGCCGCCTTTCCTGGGGGCCCACCTGGAGGCCCACCCCAGGCGCTCCGAGCTGCTGGAGATTGTGCTCGACCTAGGGCGCCGCCCGGAGGCCCGCTTCGCCAGCGGCACCTATGAGTACCTGTCAGACCATGAGGTGCGTTCAAACGCGTTCGAACGACTGCAAACGCAAGTGAAAATTTAGGGGAAGACGCGAGCCGCGGCGCCCCGCCGTTGAAAGTTGGTCGGTCGGGTGTGATCTGGCGCCAAGATCCTGCCCTTGCACCAGTGTCTGGTGGTCTTCATCCGGGTTTGCTGCTGTGATCGTCACATAGTATGTATGACATGATTGCACGCTTGATGCTGTTAGGTGACACGGGACGAGCTGGAGGCCGCCGCCAGCGCCGTCGGCGATTTTGGGAGCGACAACAGGGCGGGTGTCCCCAGCACGCTGCACCGCATCAGCGCGATCCGCAACCGCCGCGGCGGCGTGGTCGGGCTGACCTGCCGCGTGGGGCGCGCGGTGACGGGGCACGTGGAGATGATCAAGGACATTCTGACAGGTGTGAAGGCGGGGCGGCGCAGGGAAAGGGGTTGGAAGTGGGGTAGGGTAGTTTGTATGGCTGCCCGCGTGCGGACAATGGGCGGGTGGCAGCAGGAGGGAGATCCACGCGAGCCAGGCGGAAACAGTAAATGCTGCGGTCCTGCTCCGCTCCCGTGAGGCAGCCTGCCCACAGCGCCCCAGCTCAGACCAGTAAGCCCGGACGCCCCTTCTGCGCCGCGGCCCCGGGCCCAGCGGCAGCCCTCGGCCCGCCCCGCCTCGCCCTGATCGTCCAACCCCGCGGCACCCGCGGCGGCCCCATCCCTGCCCCCCCCTGCGCGCAGCCAGCACGCCGGTGCTGTTCCTGGGCCGGCCGGGCGTCGGCAAGACGACCGTCATCAGGTGCGCCACACGCCGACAAGCAATCTGCCGGCCGCCCAGCGTGGCGACGGCGCTGTCACCCTCGCCCCGCTCCCCATAAGCTGCCCGCCCTGACCCCCTGCCGCCTCAATCCCCCCCGTTGCGCCGCCACCACACTGCAACCCGCCCCGCGCCCCGCCCCTCCGCAACCTCGGGACGCGCGCACGCCGCGCCGCGCAGGGAGATCGCGCGCGTGCTGTCCGAGGACCTGGGGAAGCGCGTCGTAATCGTGGACACATCCAATGAGATCGGCGGGGACGGGGACGTGCCGCACCCGGCGATCGGCGCGGCGCGGCGCATGCAGGTGCCAGACGCGGCGCGGCAGCACCACGTTATGATTGAGGCCGTCGAAAACCACATGCCCCAGGTGGGTGCC